GGGGTCCCTGGGGGCTGATCCAGGGGTCCCAGTGGGCTGACCCGGGGGTCCCTGGGGGCTCACCCGGGGGTCCCTGGGTTAGGTTTATGACATTCCCGGGGGTCCCTGGGTTGGTTTGTGACATTCCCAGGGGTCCCTGGGGGCTGACCCGGGGGTCCCAGGGGGCTGATCCGGGGGTCCCTGGGGGCTCACCCGGGGGTCCCTGGGTTGGTTTGTGACATTCCTGGGGGTCCCTGGGTTGGTTTATGACATTCCCGGGGGGCCCTGGGGGCGGGTCCCGGGGGGCTCACCCGGGGGTCCCTGGGTTGGTTTATGACATTCCCGGGGGTCCCTGGGTTAGGTTTGTGACACTCCCGGGGGTCCCTGGGGGCTGATCCAGGGGTCCCTGGGGGCTGACCCGGGGGTCCCTGGGGGCTCACCCGGGGGTCCCTGGGTTAGGCTTATGACATTCCCGGGGGTCCCGGGGGGCTCACCCGGGGGTCCCTGGGTTGGTTTATGACATTCCCGGGGGTCCCTGGGTTAGGTTTGTGACATTCCCGGGGGTCCCTGGGGGCTGATCCAGGGGTCCCTGGGGGCTCACCCGGGGGTCCCGGGGGGCTCACCCGGGGGTCCCTGGGGGCTGACCCGGCGGTCCCGGGGGGCTCACCCGCACGCTCCTCAGGTCCCAGAGGCGCAGGGCGCCGTCGTCGCCGCCGCTGAGCAGCGCGGCCGCGTCCCGGCGGCTCCAGCTGAGCACGTTGACGTCGCCGTCGTGCGCCGAGGCCACGGCGAGCTGGCAGGCGCGGCCCGGCGGCGCCCGCACGTCCCACACGCGGATGGAGGCGTCCGAGGAGCACGAGATGAACACCTGGGGGGGAACGCGGCTCAGCTCCGAGGAGCACGAGATGAACACCTGGGGGGGAACGCGGCTCAGCTCCGAGGAGCACGAGATGAACACCTGGGGGGGAACGCGGCTCAGCTCGGGGCCCCCCGGGGCTCTGCCGCTCGGCTTTTCTCCAGCCAGGTCTCGTAAGCTCTCAAAAGGAATGTAATATGTGAAATGATAAAGGATGGCTTTAGGATAGAGATAATAAAGGGGAGCCCGGCTGTTGTTTTGGGGGTGTAAAATAAGCAGGATGGCTTCTGCTGCAGTGTTGGGAACAAAAAGATTTAATAAAAAGCGAAATAACAAACGGAAAAACTGCAGCCACGGCTTCTGCTGCAGTGTTGGGAACAAAAAGAATCAATAAAAGGCGAAATAACAAAAGGAAAAACTGCAGCCACGGCTTCTGCTGCAGTGTTAGGAACAAAAAGATTTAATAAAAGGTAAAATAACAAAAGGAAAAACTGCAGCCATGGCTTCTGCTGCAGCGTTAGGAACAAAAAGATTTAATAAAAAGCAAAATAACAAAAGGAAAAACTGCAGCCATGGCTTCTGCTGCAGTGTTAGGAACGAAAACATTCCATAAAAAGCAAAATAACAAATGGAAAAACTGCAGCCATGGCTTCTGCTGCAGCGTTAGGAACAAAAAGATTTAATAAAAGGCAAAATAACAAATGGAAAAACTGCAGCCATGGCTTCTGCTGCAGTGTTAGGAACAAAAAGATTCAATAAAAGGTGAAATAACAAATGGAAAAAAAAATTCAATAAAAGGCAAAATAACAAAAGGAAAAACTGCAGCCATGGCTTCTGCTGCAGTGTTAGGAACAAAAAGATTCGATAAAAGGTGAAATAACAAACGGAAAAACTGCAGCCAGATGCAGAAATCTGCTCCTGCTAAAAACACCTCACAAAAGCCCTCAGCTCTTTTTTCTCTTTCTCTACCTGATGCTTCAAACGAGACTTTTCAGCTTCCATCCCATTAGCCGCCCTCGAGTTTTTGGTGAAGCCCCTAAGGCCTTACAAAGCACCTTTTCCTTAATGGTTAAGAGAAACTTCGAGGCTTTTTCCTTTTTCAGGAGTCAAAAGATGCTTTTGCCACCCTCACCGAGGCCTCGCTGGGCGACCACTGGATGTCCTCGACGCTGCCGCCGTGGCCGAGCAGCGGCCGCTGGTCCACGGCCCAGCCGCCCTCGCGCGGCTCCCAGCGATGGATGCGCCCGCGCACGTCCCCGGACAGCAGCCGGCCTGGGGAGGGGGAGCAGGGGGGTCACAAACCCCAAAATCCCAGATTGTCCCCGGATCCGCACCACGGGGCTCCGTCATTCCCAGGAGTCCCTCCAGCAGCGCCCACCGCTGCCCCTGCTCCTCAGGTTTTCCGTATTTTTTCCCCTCACGTTTCCCGCCCTTTTCACCTCGAGTGTTCTGCCATTTCCCCTCATGTTTCCCGCCCATTTTCTGCCACTTTTCCCCCTTTCTGACATCTTTTCCCCTCACGTTTCCCGCCCTTTTCACCTCAAGTGTTCTGCCATTTTCCCCTCACAAATCCCACCCTTTCCCCCTCACGTTTCCCACCTTTTTCCTCTCACATTTTCTGCCAATTTTCCCCCTTTCCACCATATTTTTCCCCCTCACATTTCCCGCCATTTCCCCCTTCACATTTTCTGCCCTCTTCCCCTCACATTTCCCACCATTTTCCTCTCACATTTTCTGCCGCTTTTCCCCCTTTCCGCCACCTTTTTCCCCTCACGTTTTCCATCTTTTTTCCCCTCACGTTTCCTGCCCTTTTCACCTCGAATGTTCTGCCATTTCCCCTCACGTTTCCCGCCCATTTTCTGCCACTTTCCCCCCTTTCTGACATCTTTTCCCCTCACGTTTCTCAACTTTTCTCCCCTCACGTTTCCCGCCATTTTTTCCCCTCACGTTTCCCGCCCTTTTCACCTCGAGTGTTCTGCCATTTTCCCCTCACAAATCCCACCCTTTTCACCTCACATTTCCCACCTTTTTCCTCTCACATTTTCTGCCAATTTTCCCCCTTTCCATCATATTTTTCCCCCTCACGTTTCCCGCCATTTTTTCCCCTCACATTTCCCACAATTTTCACCTCAGGTTTGCCACCCTTTTCCCTTCACGTTTCCCACCCATTTTCCCCTCACATTTTCTGCCACTTTTCCCCCCTTTCTGCCGTCTTTTCCCCTGACGTTTCTCACCTTTTTTCCCCTCACGTTTCCCACCCTTTTCCCCCTCACATTTCCCACCATTTTCCCCTCACGTTTCCTGCCCTTTTCAACTTGAGTGTTCTGCCTTTTTCCCCCTCACATTTTCTGCCACTCTTCCCCCTTTCCGCCATCTTTCTCCCCTCACGTTTCCCACCATTTTCCCCTCACATTTCCCCCAATTTCCCCCCAAATCCTCTCCAGGGCTCTGCAGTCTCCAATCCCCCATGAACCCCCAGACCCCAAACCCCCCCAATTCCCCCCAAATCCTCACCTGGGCTCAGGGGTCTCCAATCCCCCTGGGACCCCCCAGACCCCAAATCCCCCCAGTTTTCCCCCAAATCCTCACCTGGGCTCAGGGGGCTCCAGTCCAGCCCGAACCCCTCGTCCATGTGGCCGCTGAAGGTGGCGAGCGCGGGCAGGGCTCCCTGCTGGACGCTCTTGGGCCCCCTCCCCAAATCCCCCTCCCCGAATTCCGTCCCCAGGGCCCCCAGGGCCCCCCTCAGAGCCAGCACCTCCACCTGGCCCCGCTCCGACCACACGGCCGCGACCGGGGACCCCCCGAGGGACGTCACCTGTGGGGGGACACGGCAAAGGGGGGTCAGGGACCCCCAAAAGGGGCTAAGAGGGGGGGAAGGAGGGATTTGGGGAGGTTTGAGGGGGTTTTGGGGGTCCCAGGGGGTATTTTGGGGTCCCAGAGGGTCCTGAGAGGGACACAGGGGGAGATTTGGGG